CTCCTTCCCCTATTTCTCCCTCGCCGTGGACGCCACCCTCGACAGCAACCATCACCACCACGAACAACAACAACAACAACAACAACAACAACAACATCATCATCAACAACACCAAAAAGAACAACAAATCTACGCACAACGTCTTGCGTACCTCGGTGTACCCTCCAAGGGTATCCCAGAACTCCGCATTCTCCGGGTCATCGTCCAAGAAGGTCATCGTCGCGCGTCCCGCTCGGTCCGTGTCCTGTCAAACAAGTCAAGAGAGACATCCATCCCGAAGGCGTTTTTCAGTTGGATATCCCGCGCGGAGAAACAACCAAAATCAAATCCGCCATGTGTTGCTCTATTCCGAACTCCCTGCAAGCCAAAGAAGACTCACGACACCGGGAGGGAGGCCCGTGTCGTGCAGCGTGCTCGCATGGAAAAAAAAAGGTACCTGCTCTGGTCCGACGAGCGACCAAATCGTTCCTCTGTCACGTACAATACATCCTTCAAACAAGCGAAAACAAACCAAGCCAGTTAACACAACAGCACTGCTGCCATCACCGTCATCATGAGTCCTCCGAACGAAACAGCCAGAACCCCCAACCACAAACAACAGCAGTACCATCACCATCGTGAGTCCTTCACGAGAAAGTTAGCCAACAACAGCAACGACAACCCAACACACCGCTACCGTCACCACTACAGTACCTCCATGTGGTGATCTTATTTGTAGTGGTGGATACGCCCGGCTCGTCGGCAGCCCCGGCACGAGACAAGACAGGGGAGGGGTCCTCCAAGGCGCGCAAAATTCCGTTCTTAGAGCACCACCACAAAACCACAACCACAAAAAAGCAAAGATTACGACTGACCTTGATGCGCTGCATGCTCTGCACCCCCTTGGACTTCTCGTACATGTTGGCGTCCGGCCCGCTCCACAGGTAGAGCTTCAGGCCCGCGTCGAGGATGAACACGTCTCCGTTGTTGAGGCTGTCCGTCGAGCATGCTACCTGATGACAAAACCCGACCCAATGCAAAAAAAAAACAAAACATGAATGAGAAGAAAATATAAGGCAGAATCCGATTCGCGAAGACAACGGCGGCGACTCTAACAAGAATGAGTCGTGGCGCTTATTTAGGGCAAGGGAGGCATCTCAAGGGGGGCGGCTCGCAGAAGGAATCGCAACGCCTATACAGGATATATGGAGAAAGCGTCGTTCGTTTTCTGGGAATGTCCGGCGGGCAGGGTACCTGAGGTCACGTTCGATGCCTTCTTGTGGGACACAACACAACACAACACAACACAGCACGGCACAGCACCACATACAAAGCCGACAACGTCAGCGACGTTGCGGGATTGTAGCAGGGCGCGAAAAAATGTACACCTAAGGCAAAAAAACACGAAAGGCCTGGAAGCGGCTGAGTGGACGTGGGAAAAATAATTGTGACTTGTGCAGAAGGCCAGCGACATCTCCCCTCGCTAAGAAGAACTGGACAACAGGGGGCCGCAACACACTGATGCCAAATACCCGATGCGATGAAAACCCAACACACGCAAAAACAGCAAGCATACAAAGGGCCAAATCACGCCGGGAGAACGTGAATCGTTCGTCGTCAAAACCAACAAGATCGAGCACTGTGACATCGGGAGGTGCACGTGAAAGCAAGAGTGGGGTTAATCGGCAAAAATGGCACTCGGAGTGTTTGTGTGTGTGTTTTCGTCCTATGTATTTGGCGACAGTCTTCCCATTTTTCGTGGTGAGACGTGTACTACACCTTTCAGTGTATGTAGAGTACTACACTTTTCAGTGTATTTTTTCGTACAACTACAACCATCCAGGGTCACACAGGGAGTAAAAACAAAAAAAAACGAACACATTCGGCGTGTACCTCGGACACGCGCACGACGCGCTTGCCCTTGACGTGCAGCAGTCTAGTGCGGAAAACGTCCTTCTCCATCTTGTTGAACCCGCTGTCCACGCCCCCGGGGAGGTACTCAACTCCGGTAGACTGCTCTCGTCCCGTCCCGTCCCACCCATCCCATCAACAGGGAGAAATAAACACAGAGCGGAGAGAGAGGGCGAGGGAGAGAGACAGATCGTGAGGAAACAAGAGAAGAGACAGAGAGAGACACACACACTGCGTCGTTTGTTATGGGGAAGGTCATCTGGCTCGGAGCTCTTGCTCTCCTTCCACTCCATGGTTCCCTGCTCGATTGCTGTTTTGGTCGTTCTGGTGTCCTCCCATTCCCTCTCCTCCTTCTTCGTCGCCACCACATGAATTCCTCTGATTGCCATCACCATCGTCTTTGTGTGACGATGATCGTGGCAATGAGGGGACTTCATTTGGTAGCGACGAAGGAGGAGGAGAGGGAATGAGCGGAAACAAGAAGGACCAAGACAGTAATCGAGGAGGGAACCGTGGAGTAGAAGAGAGCAAGAGCTTCGAGCCAGATGACCCTTCCCCACAACAAACAACGCAGGGCCAGAGAAGAACTGCCGAAAAGTAGCTGTGCAAATGACGATGAGAGTGATGGTTGTGAAAGCAAGGAGGATGATGGTGACAGCACTCCAAAACGAACTCGAGTGCAAGGTAGCAGCCTGGTAGACACGTCAGTTCTCCTCTGTTGCTACCGTTTCTGTCTTTGATACGGAGAATAGATTGGCCTCCCCTATGCCACCCCCTCACAGGGTCCCATAAACGGCACTTAGAAATGTTTTATGTTTTCAACCGCACTGAGACTGACACCTTTTCATTGGTCAGCCGGTTAGCGGTCGATGCAAATAATAAAGACACACACAGGGTGGGGAGATGAACTCTAGGCCAGAAGGCTGCTCATATAGACGAACACAGACACAAGTTGAACGGGGAACTAGAAACTATTGCAGATTACAATAATAGTGCTTCCACCAGAAGGGAGTAAGAGGTAGAGAAGGGACAGGAAGAGGTACAGTGCGATCACGTGGGGAGGGAACGTATCCCACACAGTACACCTCCTCCCGTGGTCGTTTATCATCCGGTCCAAAACAAGAGAGCAGAGAGCACCGAACAAAACGAAAAGGATATCAACATGCTACCAAGGGCCGAGAAACACACTCCTGTCGTGGTGATCCCGTCCACACCAGGAGAGAACACAGAGCACTGAAAAAAGACACCCACAAAACACCTACTTATCCACGACCGAGATACAAACCGTCGTCATAACGCATCCACAACACAAAAATAACACATAACACACAACACAAAATAACAAATAACACAAAATAAGAGAGTGCGGAACGAAAAAAAACAAAAGCACAAACCAAGCATCCAGGACCGATATACGATATACACTCCACTGGGGCCTCTTTTCTTCCCATCGACCTCGAGAGACGCAAAAAAAAGAAAAGAAAAAAAGATGCACAAGATGGCGGCTACCAAACTGTCTTCTCTTCTTGAGCCTTTTTACCCACAGGGGAGATATCGCTGTGTGCTGCTCGGGAAATCGAGGAAGTACAGGTAGCCTCCGCTGACGCTATGGATTCATTGCCAATCT